CTCGATCTGTAAAGAAATCAAAAGTTCAAATAAAATAATATTAAAGCCACTAACCCCGGCTTTTACCTTACATTTTTGATATTAATTTTTTTTCACACCCCTACAAGTATAAATAATAATCTAATTCCAACGTGTACTATTGACTTGTTTTATAAGGCAAAATATGTTTATAATGTACGAGAGATTGTTGTCTTTCTACTTACTCGTTCAGATTGTGTGTTTTCTTTCATCGTTCTCTTCAGGATGTCCACTTTCCTCCACATCACGACTCATCAGTACAACACACAAATAGTAGAGAACAAGAGTCTCGCACATCCTCAATTGTAATAAACACATCAGCAAAAGAAGATCGTTTGGGTTTATCATATTTTGTTCCTTTTTCACCGTAGACCCTCTAAAAGACTCGACATCAACACTACTGAAATGAGTGTGCACTGAACCTTGCTAAATACCCCCATATATATTGTGCTTTACAAAAAGACTTTTCGCGAGTCCAGGTGCATGAGTAAAATCTCCCGATGATCACGTGACTTGGAGCAGCTAGCATTCAAAACCAAGATGGCTTCAAACACTCGGGTGTCGGAGATCATTTGGACCAAGAATCTTCGAAGTTTGCCGAAATTTTCGACTAAACAAATAGGAAAACATCTTCAGGGCTGTGGGAAAAAAGAAATTGGTTCAAGAGGTTACAAGTTTTTTTCTGAAAATTATATTCACGATTGCTATTATTAGCCTTCTGAAACTTTTACGTCACGAAAGTCTTGTGCAAGGAACTATGGGATACGCTAGGGGTAAACAAACAAAATGGCGGATTGTCTTGTATAATGTTTTGGTTTTAGTAGTCTCTCGTACTCCATTTTTTCACTTTTTTGCTATTTTTTTTATCAAATGGTAAATGTTAACTGTTATGTTCCTGGTTGCGTGTCCAATAACCGTTCGTATCAGTATTTAAAGTTTTACAAACTACCCAAAGACAAGGCAAGAAGACGAAGGTGGAAAAAGTTGACACGAAATACGCGAGAGAGAGATTCACAATGGACCTGTCTGTGTCGACTACACTTCGAAGGTGGCTGGAAGAAAGAATTTTATTCTGATCCTTCAATATTTTTATCGGATTTTTATCGGATACCAAAAGAGGAGCCCAGGCGAAGCATGTGGATAAAAGCTATCAACAGACGAGAAGAAAACAACGGAAACTTATGGATTCCTTCTTCAGACAACGACAGAATTTGTAGTGAACATTTCGTTAAAGGTAAGCTGATCTTGAATCGTAATTTTCCCCGTGTATTTGTGATACAGAGTACGCAAAAATAGTATAGAAATGTCTATCTATGTCTATTTATTTCGTGTACAGTTTACGAAAACAAAGT